AATATTAACATGGGAAACGTAATTGCAAAATATTAAAGCGGCAGAGGAGTTCTCAGAATGTAGCTTGGGATTAATGTTCAAACAAATGGAATGACAACAAATGCCAGAACTTTATGAGACTAAGAGGCGACTGTAGGGTGGGACCTTGGGAAATTTTTCTGAAGCGCTTGGCACTGAATGATTGTCAGGGACCTAGAAAGAGAAAGGAAGACATTCATGGAAAGACGAATTCTAAGAAAGGCAGGGATTAAAAAAAAAAAAAAAAAAAAAAAAAAAGTCGTATTTTTTTTATCTTTCCTTTTATCCCTTGTCCTCTTCTTCTCAAAGTGCAGAGCTGTCTGAGTTAAGAGCAGGGTGGGGAGGTGTTATCTCTGAATGGGGAGGCTAACTCATTTCCTTTTTTCCCATTCCTCCAGGCTTAGCCAGATCTGAAATGCTTGTCCAATATGCTGAGTTACTGCATTTTCAAGTCTAAGTTCATGCTAAAGACCCACTGAAATTTCAAACAAGAACTAATATTATTTGTTTTACATTTTAATTCTAAAATTTATAGCAGTGTTCTTTCTTTCAGGAATGTTGTACCCATGGAAGACATCTCTATATTCTTTAGATGATTCTAAAAGACACGAGGAAAAACTAAAATGCCTCTCAAAAAGGAGAGTTGCACAAAGAGTTTATCATTTTTTTTTAAGTGCAGATTAGCAGCAAGTACTGATTTCAGTGGTTTGTATATATGAGTAGATTCGTGTATTCCTTGCAACAAATCATCCCAACTCTGTAGGCAGAAAAATATGGCAAAGAGGGGTAAACATGCTTACTGCCCGACCAGTGAAAAATGCTGGAGCCCGTCATCACACTGAGGTTGTCTGACTCCCAGGCACTTGCCAAGAAATGCCTCGAGAAGTTATGTAACCGATCTGGTTCCTTGTCTGTAAAATCTGGGAGGTTGAATGAGATAATCTTGACATCTACCCTCATGTCAGAAACTAAATGTTAGGTTCACATCCTCAATTTCTACTTTTCTCACATGACTCAAGCTTGAAGCACTCTGTCCTCACTTCCAAAGGAACGAGTTCTCCCTTCATAGAAATACTGACATTGATTGTTCTGGGTTTTTGAATGACTTCCTTCAAGAGGATCAGATTGCGGGGCAATAATGAGCAACTCCTGACTCAGGTTTGCAAACTTCCTGACTTTTCCATGTGATCGAGGACCTATTTTCTGTAGGCAATTAGAAAACTGCCCCATATAATGACAAACACTGACATGCTGGTAACTGAAAGTGGCTCCCATTCTTGTTACTGACATTAAATAAGTCATCTAAGTTGAGTGACTACACCTACTCTCACAAAAGACCAAATGAAGCGATTCTCATATTGAATTGTTGAAGTGGCCTGTAGAGTTTTTCCTGAATTGGTCTAAAGGAAAAGGCAATTTCTGTTCCTTACACTAGCTCATGACCTCTGCATCACCAGCCTGGTAGGACATACACATATTCCACATCTTTCCCAGCTGCTTCAGAATCTGAATGACCATGGGTACCAGACAGGGAGAAAAGAGAGGCAAGGCCTGGGGCGGGGGTAGTTAGAAGAGGGCAAAAGGATGATAAATGATGACAGAAGGAGAGTAAACTTTGGGTGGTGAACATGAACATGATGTATTATAGAATTGTACGCTTGAAACATATAATTTTAGTAACCAATGTCACCTCAATAAATTCAATAAAAATTTTGGGAAAAGGAGAAGGGTGAGGCCTGCTTTAGAAGCAGAATACAATCCTGCTTGTTCATCACGAGTTCCATGTCTCAGTTTTGACCAGAAGACTTTCAAACCAGCCCCAAGTTCCGTTGTTATCTATACGTCCTGCAGCTGGGTGTGCAGCACGGGCCCTGGGAGCAGCCTCTTGCGTTGCCTCCAATGCAAAAGAGAAGGTGGGGATGAGGGCAAAAATCACCCTCCACCACCACTTCCTCTATCTTAGACTCAATGAAGGAAGTTTACTGTCAGAGCCAGTCTCTTAAGTTAACATGATGCAATAACTGAAATGTCTTAGGGAAAAGGCTTTACAATGCAGAACTGGATGCAGGGGTTAACATGCAAATGCCCCTGAGGAAAGCAGCACACTGCTAGACACTCCCAGGCAAGTGTAAAGGAGAGAGGAGGGGGCAGAGAGTTTTCTAGCTGAGATCCCAAGAGGAGAAAAGAGGACAGAATTGGGGTTGAGATCTAAAAACAGATGTAGTGTACTCAATTCTTCGGTTTACCAAACTAAAAAGATCCCATGCATTTAGTATTTTCCATCTTAAATAACAACAAAGAGGCAGCCAACAGAGCCATGGATTGAATCTGTAACAAGCCTAGAGATTATTCTTCACTTCATGTCCAAGTTCCCACAATAAATATGAAGCATCTAAATTTAGAAGAAAAAAAACCACACACATTATGTTCTCCTCTTTATGATACACAATAAATCCTAGGAAAACAGTCTATAGAAAAGAACATTTGAGATGGAGGTGGGTATTTGGGGATAGGAGGGTCTGTTTCAGGATTTAGCCCCTCATTTTGTTTAAGCAAAGGTGCTGACAACACATAGGAAAGACGGGAGGATGGTGAGGACTGTGGCCTTGGAATTCAGGGATGTGCGCCTGAGGGGCAGAAGGATGAACTTGGAAGCTGCATGCTCTCCCCTACAGTGTGGTTAAATGGCATGGAGATGAGTCCTGAAGTTAGAAGCTTCACAATATCTTGATATCTTCTATGTTAGCCCTTGTCTTTCTTTCTTCCTGTTTTCCTTTTCATTTTTTTCCCCCTAGCAACCTACACAAGGTTTAATTCATTTCCATCACCTTTATACTTTTGTTTCTGTTATGTGTATGAATTAACCTTCAGTATTTAAAGGTAGTTCCTCTCTTCCATTTCCATTATATTAGCTCAAGGAAACACGTATTTGTCCTCCCCAGTTAAAGATCATTCTGGACTTAAGCCCTTTACCACTGGATCTTGGCTACAGCGGCCGGGGCGGGGGGGGGGGGGGGGGGGGGGTGTTCTTGCCACTGTTTTTTGTTTCATTTGTTTGTTTTTTAAATGTCAGGGTATTGCTGCTGGTTTGAAAAACTGATGGTTCTTAAATTAAATAGAGTTTGTCTGGGAAAATGTCTATGCTGTGGATGAGCATACTACCTTTTATAGCAGTTTCTGACTTCACCAAAAGTCAAAGTGGAATATATTGACAAAAATGTAAATTACTGCTAAATATGACATATAGAGATGGGATAATGGTTCTGTATGTCTTTGATAATTAAAGAAAGGGGAAGGGAGCAAAGACATATTTAACTTGATTTTTAAAGAGGTAGCAGCTGGAGGAGAATTCAAGTTCCAACATGGTTCATTAACAATGACTACATATATCATTCTAAATATTTTAATCGCAGGTAGACAACTAAAGAACTTAAGAGTTAAATCCCAAATAAAAATACATTTGAGCCCACCTGCTTATTTGGCCTTCTGGCTAACGTTACCTGATGAGTCTCTTCCTGTTCACTTATTAGCATACAAGAAGGTTCCACTGGGGTCTTTTCTTCACAAGCTTACCTTATAAGGATAAAAGATAAAGAGAGGGCCCTAGCCTGCTTGGCTCAGTGGACAGTGTCAGACTGTGGACTGAAGGTTCAATCCTCAATAGGGGACATGCAGGAGGCAACCAATCAATAATTCTCTCTCAGTATTGATGTTTCTGTCTCTCTCTCTCCCTCTCCCTTCCTCTCTGAAATCAATAAAAATATATTTAAAACAAAAAATAGCAACCACAAAAAAAGATAGAGATGTAATATTTGCTTTATTTAGCTTTTTGGTGTATTTTCAAATAGAGGACACCTGGTTCTAATTTTCTAAATATTGAATAGTTAAACTTTAGTTAAAAGTTTGCATTTTATTCCCTAAAGAGACCCAAACAGATAATTGAATATGAATTTCTACTTCAGTGATGACAATTAGTTTGGAGTAAATAGATCACTGAAGAGTATTTTGTCTCCTCTGCTAAGACTGGAGAAAATTAGGGTCTCCATATACCACTGTCCAAGCAAAATGAAGCATATTCTCAGTGGTAACATAAACCACAAAGAAATTCAGTTGTTAACTTATTAAGTGTGACACAGATTAGGACAAACTCAGGAAGGCGAAGAGCAATTCCCGGTTCTTCTATAGAGAACAGACTTCTATCCTATTGTCTTGAAGTTATTGTGGTCAATGTAGGAGGTGCGGTACTGACGTGAGTCAACTTTTTCTAAACCTTGAGTAATGAGGAAAATGAACACGTTGGGTGGAGCTCAGGAATAAACAGAAAATACTTAGCATGTACAGGCGTGATTGAGACTGGTATCAGCTTTGAGGGAGGAGGGGACATATTTGTAAACAAATTGCAAATTGCTGCTGACAATTTGCAAGCAAAACAGAATGAAAGGAGTACTATACATATACATATAAGCTGCTTGGAATTAACCCTTTTATCCTAAAGGAAATAGAAAGCAGAATCACTTGATCTCTTGCCTTTGAAGTTCTTTCTTGTCTCTGGAGTAGTTCAAGTTATCTATCCACCCCGGAATTCTGTATACTGAGGGTGGAGTGTAGACTGTGTGCCTTCTACTGGGCTGTCTTCTTGACATGGGATCTTGACTCACTGTGTGAATTCTCACTAATTGCTCAGTACCTCCAGGCCACTGGTTTCCCCCAGCAGCATAGGAAGTGCCTACTTGCAAAAATGTCCAGGCATGAAAATTGTGTGAAAGACCCACTTAAAGGTAATTCATAAACATGTTATAGAATCACAGGTATTCGTTATATTCAGAAATACATTTAGAAGTTTCAGTTTGTATGTGGACTGTTTTTGTTTGTTTGTTTTTCGAGAACAGACATAAAATAGCCTTTATTGGATTAAACACATTTTACCAGCTTTTCGTCTTACCAGTGGGCCATTCACAATATGCTATTGAAGTACAGTTGTGATTTTCTTCTATGGACAGAATAAAGTTCATAAGTAAAAATGAAAACACTACAGCAGAGTTTTTGGCATTTGGACACAAAAATAAACGGGGGGTAGGAAATACCTTCTATTTCAGTGTAAACCTCATCTGCACACTGCATCGTACGTGTTGTTTTGCTGAATATGGTAGATACATGGCTTTTTCCCCGCTTAAGCCATTCACCTTCTGTCATCCATACCCCCTCCCAAAGTGTCTTCATGCCCCAGCTTGTGTTTCGTCCTCTTCTTCCTAGGGGTTAAATTTATGACATTTATGATAATTACCTGCAGGGTTGCATTCAGATTTGAATAGGTTTCTGCACACTCTCTAAAGGTTCCTGCAGGGTAGGGTAAACTTACTCTCACATACAGCTCTGTGATGTTTTCACTGATCTGTTTGGCGATTCCAGGTTTATTACCCTAATTATGCGCTAATGAGCACACAGCTTTGCAAGGAAATTTGCATTACTTGCTTAAGTAGGACAGATTATCAGCTTAACCAAGATAAAACATCTCGTTGTTTGAGACCCTGGAATTCACCAAAAGAGATGCCTAGCATGTAGAAGGATGCTGACTGCGACCTTGAAAGCAATAAGTCCACTGCAATTTTAAGGCGTTTGCTCGGCAGGGTCCAATCATCTTCAGCATCCCTTTCAATTCCTGTTTTTGTTTTGTTTTAGCTACCTTTACATCCATCTCCTAATACCAAGACAGAAGAATGTCTCCTTACAACCACAACAGAAATGCAGGAGCAAATTTAACATCAAGAAAATATAGCACAAGTGCAGACTTTTTACATCAACTGTTAAGCTTGCTTCTCTCCACAAAGTGCAAATTATTACATTTTAATGTTTTTCCCTCTCGGAACCAGAAAAATATAGAGCTGGCCGTTTATTTTCATATCTCTTTCCTTCATATTTTCACTTACAGAGAAACAACTTTGGAATTTGTTGTGGCGTTAAATAATCATCACTTTAATAAGTAAGTTAAAGGCCTTGATTTTAACATCCATTTCCTCTTTTCAAGTTTTTCCTTCTTATATTAAAGATTATTTTGAGAATTTTCTGAGAAATGATACAAAGTTTAATATTAGGGGACTGACCGGATATCGCGAAGAGATTAAGCAGAAAAGGTGAGTAGGCAAATCAGCCAGCTAAATTAACTAGTTGTTCTAGAAGACGTGAGGTCTTTAGTGCCATCACATTATGCCTCGTTAGCTCCATTAGCTGCTTGACATTGTCATTATTCTACCTACTTTTCTCTGTGCAGTTTCACTGTGTCAGCTTTGATTTCCCCTGTACTTATTTTTCCCCCCAACTTAAAGCTATTATATCACCTTCCAGGAGCATTGATTTTTAGTCAGGTGTCACAAATTCCCCACTCATCATTTCCTTGCAGGCATAAAACTGACGATTGCAGCTAGCGTTGCACCCTTTCATTATTTCAGAATTAATCGCTTATTCCTATCAGCCAGTGCTGGCATCCTCCTCCCCTATTAAACTCAATGTTTAATTTCTAAATGTGTTCATCGACAAACATTGCAATAACTTCCCATCACTGTGGTTTGGCAAAAATAAATCATTAAGAGGGCAAAGAGGAGGTAGGTGATTTAAACATTTGTTTGAAACAATCAGGCATCTGTAGAGCTTCCAGTATTTGTCCAGAATGGTAATAGGTGATGTTGGAGGGGTGACAGAAATGGAAGGTGGCATCACTCCTAACCCTGATAGTACTTAAAATCTTGCTGCGTGAAGCAATTTTGAACGGTTTAGAACCTTGACTAAAAGTTCACAGTCTTTATGCTTCACTTAGTTTTAACTTGCCTGATTACTTGAATCATTGAGAAAACATCAGTAACCAGTGAAGGAGCTTTATTTATTTATTTATTATTTATCTTAACAATGTACGTAGCCATCCTTTTTGGAGCTTCAAACAATAAATTGACATTTTAGACACAGAAATTAAAAGTGTTGCATGTTGAAATTTTAGTACAATTCTCACTAGAGAAATTTATATGCCCATACCAAACCATAACACATCTCTCAAAAATTGCTATATACACCACAGCCTCACCAGTTTTTTAGATTGAAAAATTTTGTAACGAACCAAATATTTTATTTCTCTAGAGAAATAAAAACTAAAATGACCTTTAGCAAAAATTCCTAGAAAAGAACTCTTTCACAATAGTATCTGTTGTAACTGGCCTGGAGACCATTACTTTTTAAGAAGATGATGTAAATTCACAGGACACAGCCACATAGAAGGCATGGCATATATACACTATTTCTAAGAAGGACATCGACATTATAAATATAGTCACTTCATTTTGTCAAATGTTATATACCTCCAGGCTGGAAATGATAACAATGGTGATTTTAGGGAAAAAGAGTGAGGATCGTGGTCAGGAGGAATTTATATCATGATTCATTGAAATTCAGATATTTTAAACTTCCTTTTGAGGTATGTAGTAAAGAATACTTTTCAAAGCATGTAACATGTGTAAAAAAATACTGTAGGGAAAAATGTTATTTCTCCAAAGTGTAAGGGGATGGATTACGAATGCCAACCAAATCAACCTGAAGTATTATAAAACGGCATAATCTTTACCTGGCAAACCACCTGTCTGTCTCTCTTTTTAAAATAATTTCTTCTTTTCATGGTACTTTCCAATTTTCTGTTGAATTCCGTCCTGCCTCTAATTTTCAAAGGCAAGCAGCGAGTTTTATTGAAAGAACATCCTGGTGGCAGAATTGTTTTCTGAATGCAAATTCCATATTTCTCTCCTTAAGCAGGTAGCAAGCTCATTTTCTACAGTAAAATTTGACTAATTCTCAAGGCCTCATTTACCCATATCATAGGAATGTTGTCAAAATAAAACAAGGTAATGGTTTGCAAGTACACGGAGGGACAACGCCTTTACACAAATGCCAAGTGATATTCCATTCTCTCCACATTTTGTGAACTTCTGCTTCTCCGCATTTCCAAATCATGAGCTCTGTCCTTAAATGTGGTCTGTTTAAGCTCTATTAAACTTGAAAGCACTATGGGAGGTATCATTGAAATGGTACTGGAATGCATTAGAGTAAAAAAAAAACTTGAAGAAAGGACTTTTCATCTGACTGCTAAGCATTGGTAATGCTGGATCAGATATGCAGAAGTTTTCTGGATGGCCATTCCTGTTTCAGATGCCATTTATAGTTTTGAGTAGCCTGAGTTCAGGGTTTGACTGAATTTACATTGGTTTTTAAGTTTTTATTTTTAACTGCATTATATTGATTGTTATCAATATGCCTGTAATTCTCAACACAATATATCATTTGATGTTACCAGAAATAATTACAAGGTCTCCTTGTATTTTTGTTCCATTGATTCTGATGCACCATGTAGAGTACTTTGGTGAACACATATCCCTCTGCAGTCTTCCCTTAGGGAGATTGCCTGCTTACACACCTATTACCATATTATATATTCTGTTAAATGAGCAGCATATAAAACCTGCTCTACAGATAGTAATACAATACCACAATATCATATACCTAGAATAGATGATTTTTCTTTTCCTTTTATTTATAATGACACTTGGCAATTTTAGAAATTCCAATTTAGTTTGCTCTATTACTTAAGACAGATTAAAACATAATATTGGGCAGCTCTATTATTTAAATTGAAAGACAGCAAACATTTATTACTTGCTTAATGTGACTTGGAATTATCTTTTCTAATCCCATGCACTACATCAAGAGACACCTCAAAAAAGTGCCAGAGAATGTAGAGTAATTGACACATTAGCATATTTCTTCTGGAGTAGCTAGTATTTTCTGTCTTAATGTGGAGCATTGTAGAAAATGCATTTTCAGCACTGGCCGGTGTGTCTCAGTTGGTTGGGAGTTGTCCTATGCACCAAAAGGTTGCTGGTTTGATTCCTGGTCAGAGCACATGCCCCATCCTCTGTAGGGGATGTGCAGGAGGCAGCCTATCAACGTTTCTCTCCCACACAGAGTTGTTGTTGTCCCTCTCCCCCTCTCCTTTCTTCTCTCTCTAAAAATAAATGTAAGTTATTTTTCAGAAAATGCATCTTCAGGGCTTTCAACTTGATGCTTCTTTGGGAATGTGCACCATGACCTACACACCTGTGTACTCAATATGTGTTTGTGGACTCAAAATATAATTCTTTTATAACTAATGAATCTTCCAATCAAGATATCTAAAGATATAGGCCCAGCTTTTCCAGTCATATACAGAAATATGAGTCTTGCTTAAGATTATCTTGCATCTATGCTAATATTGCTCAAGATTCCTAATCGTACAAAAATTTACTCATCACCCGTGGAAACAGAAGTAGATTACAATTATTGCAGTAATGCCTAAGAAAGTACATCAAATGATTCCAAATACTAGCTTTTCTGCCCTAATGTTACTAAAATCCAGCCATGCATGTCTATAGAACTTTTAATTCTAAAATTAAAAGGATCCTTTGTGGGATCCTTTTCTTTCTTCCTTTCTTTCTCTTTCTTTCTTTCTTTCTTTCTTTCTTTCTTTCTTTCTTTCTTTCTTTCTTTTTTTCAAAATAAAATTATCTAGATAGCTACCTATATACTTTAATGTTAAACTTGACCAACAAATCCCTAAATTTCTTATGTTATCTTAAGATCTCCATTTGCATGTGGCTACCATTTCACACTAATTTTTGCCTCAAATCATTCCTTCTTTCAAAAAAAAAAATTGTTGATGAACAATATATATGCAATGTGCAGTAAAGTTTTTATTTAAAACAGAAAGAGATGCACTGGAATATCTGTAGAGAACAATAATTCAATATTTAGAAAAGCATAGAAAGCCCCTTGCATAGTACTCAACTTCTAAGATGCCTAGTAATTATTAAACATTATTTGGCACTCTCCTTACTCAGCCCTGTCAACATTTTTAATAATAAACTTAAGGCATTATAAGAAGTACTTTTTGAATCCCAAAATATAGGATTGTATATCATATAATTCAAAAGTTTATGTTATACATTACTTATTTAAAATTAGAAGGAAATCCATTAGCAAATATGTAGGGAGGAAGAGGAAAAAGAAGAGATTATTTTATTGTGTTAACTGTAGACAGAGCCAGCCTTTGACCCCAGAAAATTTAAAGATATCAGGTCCTAGTGAATTCCAATCTATAATAATAAAAGAGTAATATGCTAATTAGACTGGACATCCTTCCGGATGTTCTTCTGGATGACCTTCTGGATGAAGCCAGGGCTGGGAGGGCCAAGCCCCTTGCACAAATTTTGTGCATCGGGCATCTAGTTTGTAATAATGTCAGAGTTTATCACATTGATAATACTTTGCTATTCTACATTGTTTTAGTTACATTTCTCATCTCAGTTTTGATTATCTTTGATGTTTCTTGGTTCACCATTCATATTTAAGACCCCTTTTGCTACAGATATGTTCATCTAAATGCTGCAAATTAGTTTCCATTGCTGGGATCACATAATTCTTTGCTGAAAATCCCTTAAGTGCCTGAATTGGGTTTTGAGATCATCTATCAACATTCCCATTGTTATACCTGGCTATTGCTCTATTTTTCCTACCTGCTTCTTCTCCATGACCTGGCCTTTAGCCATACTTTCATCTGCACTCATTTCTAAACTTTTTCCCAATACTCAGCTCAAAATCCACTTTAAGTCATAAAACCGTTCTCATTTTTTATAAAGGCAAATGGAGCCCTTAGGCCATTTTAAGAGATATCAGTGCACACCTGTTTCCAACTTGACCAATGCACTCTTTTCCCTGCTTGAAATGAGGTTAGAGATTTGTTATGTACAATCATGTGAACACGATAATGTATAATTAATTGACTTTTCTTTTCTCAGATTACCTCAAAGGTAGAGACTACAACACATATGTTAAGCTTCTCACCACAACTCACATGCATTGATATAAATATCAAGCTCTCACTTAAACATATTTCATGTGGTTCATAAATAAAGTCTATGTAGATATACGATCAGGTGCATAGATCCATAATTGAATTGGCAAATACAAATACCAATCTTCTCCTATTCGGCTACAGTTCTCTAATCACCACTGCAACTCACAGTAATTCTGTCTCCCATCTTTCTAAAGAATTTATCTGCTTCCCAGATGTGTTGGAAGATGATACTTTATATTGGCAAGTGGGGTAGTGAAAATACTAGCTTTGGGAGAACTACTTTTCTATGTTCTTTTGTACTCTTTTAGTTATTTCTGTACTCATAGTAATGTTACAGTTTTTGTAGTGTTTGGTTTACTTTTTGTCCATAGTCTTCTTAATCTTTGGTAACAAAATCACATCTGCTTGATCAGCCAAAGGCATCTTGGCCCTAAAACCCAATTCAGGACAAAACCATGAGTCTAAAGTCTTATTAGAAGATATCGCTTGATTCACAGAAAGGCTGCTGGTCACAAGCTGCTAACAGAGATGACATCTGGTTACCAGTTTGTCTTTACACACCATGCAATCCCCTGTTTTTGTTTTTGTTGTTGTTTGTGCTCCACAAAATGAGTGCTCTGAATCCCGGGCTAATTTTTCTAGAGGGGAAATAATGTCAAATGAGTCGCCTCAAGTGTTCAAATAAACAACCGACCAAGATGGCTGCGGAATTGGGAAATAGGATGCTGAAGTGGAGTCACTTAAAATGGCATGAAGTCCCTGGATAAGATCAGAGAAAGTTCCCTTTTCGGTTGATACCACTTCTGGGATGGGAAATGGCACCTTGCTGTGGTCAGTACTCTGCCTGAACAAGCCTGAGACAAGGCTTATCTCTGGTCCCACAGTGCGAAAGCCTTTGAAATAGACTTGGGTTACCCAAGAGAGTGCGGTGCGGAGGGGACCGCAGAGGGCAGGGGCAGCCCGGCCCGCTGGGCAGCTCCGTTAGGGAGATTTCAGGATTATCTATAGATGCCATTACAGGGAGGAGAAAAGATGTTTCTGGCTCATGCTTCTGAATTGGAAAATTATTTCTAACATTTTATTACTAATTATATGTCCAGAGAATGTTATTTTTAAACTAAAACTGATGTACTAGGCAGGGGTGGGCAAACTTTTTGACTCCAGGGCCACAATGGGTTCTTAAACTGAACCGGAGGGCCGGAACAAAAGCATGGATGGAATGTTTGTGTGAACTAATATAAATTCAAAGTAAACATCATTACATAAAAGGGTACGGTCTTTTTTTTTTTTTTAGTTTTATTCATTTCAAACGGGCGGATCTGGCCCGCGGGCCATAGTTTGCCCACGGCTGTTAGTGTTTAACAGCGGTTAAAAGTCTGCTTCTCAAATATGGTTTAGAACTTCATGTATACAAACACTAATCCTTTCCTTTAATCAGTTGTAGTTCTTAATGATATAATTCCCTTACTTTGGACATTTTATATGTAGTGTCCTAACAAATACCTTTCTCCTCCCTTCTTCCCCTTGCTCCTGTTTGTACTTTGCAAACTTTCCGTGAGACTCACTCCATCATTCTCTTTCCTATTCCCTTGTATTTATCTCTTAGAAATAGACACTGAGCACACACATCGACACTGAGGACAACAAAGTACCTCTCGTTGTAAAGATAAAGGACTACAGGTAAGAAATAGGGAACCTGGAGCTTTAATAAGCATGGAAGGAGAAGACAATGCCCTCCTAAAACAAAGACTTTCAATTCACTCACCAAAAATCCAGAGCAAAACACCAACAACAAATGCAGGTAATGTCTGTGTCATGGGTTTAGATTTTATAGAAACCCCTCTTAGATTTTAGAATTAGAGGGAATAGTCAGTATCAAACAGACCAACCTTTCCACTTTACAAATGAGAGAACCGAAGCTCAGAAATGCCTACGGTTCACCTCCAGGCTACACAGCTAGTGAGGTCTGCCTCCTCATTCATCTCTTATTTCATTTCTCTTTTTAAGCAACCACAGTGTCTCCCATAGCGTTGTGAAAGAATGAAATGGTTGTGCTGTAAAGATAAACTCTCATTTGGAAATGAAAAAGACAGGAAAAAAAACAGTTTAAAAAATTAGAGGATGAGAGATATTTAATAATTAAACCTAGATTCTAGTTATTTCAATCATGTCACTTTTCAAAAGAGTATTTTTAAAATATATTTTTATTGATTTCAGAGAAGAAGGAAGAGAGAGATAGGCACATCCAGCCCGCAACCGGGGCATGTGCCCTGACTGGTTCATAGGTGGGCACTCAACCATTGAGCCACACTGGCCTGGCAAGATTATGTTTTTAAATAAATAAAACAAGCCTATGTTGTGATTCATCAAAGTCACATACAATCAGTTAAAACCTCCTAGGAAGGCAATGGAGGTTAGAGACTACTTCACCAGTATATTTTTCTCACGTAGCATTGTCCTCAAATGATTACTTTTCAGTGCTCATCACCTACTTTAATTTTAGACCATTTGCAACTTGGGGCTTCATTCTTTTCTTTGGAAATATGATTTCAGTGTAATCTGTCTTGAGGATCAAGGTATGATACTTAGGAAACTGATGCGCCCCACAGGAGAATTTTGTATGGCATCTGATAGGGAGGCCATCAATCCGATCTGAAGATGTGAAATCGCCTGGGAATCTCCCAACATCACTTGACAAGTGACACATAACCAGGGCAAGGAACATGATTGCATTCCTCCTTAACCAGCCAGGGCCATTTTGTAACTGGAATATCATCTGGAAGGGATAGCCAGCCAGGATGCCTGAAATGTAAAGTAGATTCAGGCTGGCTTGCCTGGACTAGTCCCCAGGAGGAGAAAACGTATAGTGCCGTTGCTTGGTTGCCATGGAAGGATTTACTAGCCAGCTGAGCAGAGTGAGTGACATTTGGTTGGGGCAGGGTGTGGGCACAGCGCTCCAGGCAATCTGGCTTTCCTTTTCTCTAGTATTTATTTGGCAAACTCAGCCATCGATCCTCGCTACTCCCCCTCGTATCTGAAGTAGTCATCCTGGGGTGAGATGATTTATGATGAATTTCACATAGTATTACTTAAAGAGCTTTCCGAGGGAGGCAGGTCCTCCTGCAGAACACCGCCAGGTCAAAGAGGAATGAATGGCAGCCCCGAATCTGGCCTGGCCTGACTGACCTCAAGTTCTGGCTTCCTTGTGTTTCTGAGACCTCCCTTTGTGCTTGTAGATGAGCCCTAATCAAGTTGCAGCCTCTTTAGATAGGGGAGAGAGAACACACCGTGAGACAGAAGCTGCATTTTCCCCAAGAAGCTGAGAAGCTTTGAGGCTTGGAAGGAAGAAAGGCATACAGACATCTTCTTTGTTTACTGCTTCTATTTAGGGGAAGGTCAGGGTTTCCTCATCCGATAAAGGGTGGTGAGGAGAGCACATATTCCCAGGTGACTTCTTGGCTTTTAGGTTTCTTTGTTCCTCCAGTGCCTCACCTGCTTTATTCAGGTCAAAGGCAGGGAATCAGCTGTAAGGCATTCTCTAGTGCATCAGCAGTCAAAGGAGGACAGACACGTGTGTGCAAGCACATACATGCACACACATAAGCGGGGGCGGTTTTGTTCCCCAGTGTCACAGTCAGCCTTTTGATTTCCTTTGTGCTTGGACCATAAGTAGGGCATGTGACTAGGACAAGGAGGTGACCGTTTGAAGGTGGTAATGGAATGGGTTACATTTGTTCCATTTCCTATGCTCTTTACATTCATGAGATCATTATCATGAAAACGGATTTGTGCTGTGCCATTTCCTGTTCTTGTTACAATCTTTATCATGACAAGAAGGTACCAGGTTTTAACGCCTGGTGTAATATTTAACTGTCTTCAATAACTGCTGTGGAGTGTGACTTTTCTTCCCACATCATGTTGTCTGCACAAAGAGTAAAGATAGTGCTATCTGGGTGTTTGAATGATGGTGCACTGAGTTCCTTTGAGGCTCTAAAATATGAGGGTCAGGAAGCACACCTTCTTCCTTCCATACCCCAACCTAACCAATGTGAAAACTTCTACAGAGGCTCTGACTTGCTCCTCTAGCCCCCACCTCAACCCCTGTAGCCCCTACATTGATATTATAGCCCCTGCATTGGCTCCTGTAGCCCTCTCATTGACTCCTGTAGCCCACACTGAATCTTGTAGCCCACATTGACTCCTATAGCCTTCACTTTCACTCCTGTAACCTCCACATTGACTCCTGCACCCCCCACACTGAATCCTGTAGCCTGCACATTGACTTCTGTACCCCCTACACCAGTGATGGCGAACCTATGACACGCATGTCAGAGGTGACACGCGAACTCATTTTTTTTGGTTGATTTTTTTTTTGGTAAATGGCATTTAAATATATAAAATAAATATCAAAAATATAAGTTTTGTTTTACTATGGTTGCAAATATCAAAAAAATTCTATATGTGACACGGCACCAGAGTTAAGTTAGGGTTTTTCAAAATGCTGACACGCTGAGCTCAAAAGGTTCTCCATCACTGCCCTACACTGACTCCTGTAGCCTTCACACTGACTCCTGTACCCCCACACTGACTCCTGTACCCCCACACTGACTCCTGTAGCCTTCACATTGACTCCTATAACCCCCACACTGACTCCTGTAGCCTTCACATTGACTCCTGTAACCCCCACATTGAATCCTGTAGCCCCCACATTGACTCCTGTACCCCTACATTGACTCCTGTAGCCCCCACACTGACTCCTGTACCCCCCACACTGACTCCTGTAGCCTCCACACTGACTCCTGTAGCCCCCACATTGACTCCTGTACCCCACATTGACACCTGTAGCCCCCATACTGACTCCTGTAGCCTCCACACTGACTCCTGTAGCCCCCACATTGACTCCTGTAGCCCCCACACTGACTCCTGTAGCCTCCACACTGACACACTGACTCCTGTAGCCCCCACATTGACTACTGTAGCCCCCACATTGACTCCTGTAACCCCCACACTGACTCCTGTAACCCCCCACATTGATTCCTGTACCCCCACATTGACTCCTGTAGCCTCTACATTGACTCCTATATCTCATATTGATTCCTGTACCCCCACACTGACTCCTGTAACCCCCACATTGACTCCTGTAGCCCCCACACTGACTCCTGTACCCCCACACTGACTCCTGTACCCCACATTGATTTCAGATGCCCATTTTTCTTATCCATGGCTCTTTATAGCCCAAGTGACACTCCCAGTGACAGTCAGATTGTTTAACTTAAGGGGCATGGCAGTGAACTTTCCAATTATCATCAAAGAATTTCCCCAGCATTACCATGCTGAGACTTCAGGCTGTTGATACGGATTAGATCAAAAATAGAACAAGGTATAATAAGAACCTTTGCTTCCTGGTATGGACTAGAATCAGAATAGCTAATGGTACAACACTTTCAAGTTCTCTCTCTCTCTCTTTTTAAAATTGGTTTAGTTCTTGTGAAAGCTGCTGAATTGACAGCTCAGGATACTATGGATAGAAAAATGACAAGCTTTCCCTCTTCTCTTTTCCCAGTATACCTTCGGTCTGCCCTGGAGGAAATGTCTCAAGAAGAGAGAGGTTTGTTCTTTCTCCAGATACTTTTAAAGTTTGAATTCAGGAGTAGGAGTACTATCCAAGCTGCTTATTATGAAGAATGTATCAAGAAGTGGCCATGTGTTTTCTAAAATCAAAGCTAAAATTGACAGATCATTTCATATAGGCAACTGCAAAACCACCCGCTAGAGCCAGTTTTGAAATCTTGTACATCTTTCTCATAAGTGAATCCCTGAGTGCTCCAAGTGAGTTATGCAATGTGTGGTCTGTGGTTGAAATTTTAAAAACTCAACTTTTAGGGGAAGATAGGGTAGGACATTTGCCATTTGCTTCATGACCGGCACTTATGAAGAATCCAGTTCTTGCTATTGAAGACTGACCTGTATTTTTTTTTTTATAGTAGAGCTCAGAGCAATGGGGCTAACTAAGAAGCCCTAAAGACTTCAGCCACAGGCTGAGATATAGTGGGGCATGCAAAGTCTTCCAAAACTCAGTAAATATTCATGCCCTTTCATTATACAGGACTTATCTAATATTCATAAACTTTTGGGTGAGGGACCATTGTGCATGTTAGCAGGATTCTGAAGTTCCCGAGATCTTATATAATATTAGAGGCCCGGTGCATGAAATTCCTGCACTCAGGGGAGGGGTCCCTCAGCCCAGCCTGCACCCTCTCACAGTCCAGGAGCCCTCAGCAGACATCCTTAGCGCTGCCACAGAGGCGGGAGAGGCTCCCATCACCGCTGCTGCACTTGCTAGCCATGAGCCCGGCTTCTGGCTGAGCAGTGCACGCCCTGTAGGAGCACACTGACCACCAGGGGGAAGCTCCTGCATTGAGTGTCTGCCCCCTGGTGGTCAGTGTGCACCATAGCAACCATTCGTTACACCATTTGGTTGATTTGCATATTAGCCTTTTATTATATAGGATTTTTTTGTGAGCATATAAACATTTTTTTCTCTCTAATGTACCTTCTTAGTTTTTTACCAAGTTTTCAAGGAAACCTGTGACATCCACAACCTTTGACCCTCCCACCTTTTCCTGCCCAAGAGATTTAGACAGAGAAACCTGGTTCAGGAAGAAGAACTAAAAATGTCATCTGAGCCTAATTTGAATTAAATTAGTAATTACTCTTACTAGGTACCCCAGGTCTCATTGTTTTTGAGTCGCCCAGCAGGGATTTTCCTAGCATGTATATTCTGCTCTTCCTCAATGACCTGTAAATTGCCCATTCTCACTTCTGAAATCTAATACTCTGTCTCCTCCCTCTTTCTCTTTAGTATAAAAATGTCTTATATACTCAATGTTTCATGCCTATGTAAATTCCACATGCACATGTATTCAACTTTAATTTTCTCCTGTTAAAAAAAAAAAATCCCACATTCTAAGAGTCACTGCTTTAGACAGTGAAGTCTCACTCCTCACTTTTCTCCAGATTTCTGAGACCTGTTGTCACCAGTCCCACTCAGAAAACACTTAGAAAAAAAAGAAGGTGGTAGATCACAAAGAACGCAATAATGTCTTCTTAAAAGTGAACTATTAGAGCACATCTATAGTCATGGACATGCTCATCTACCAGCAACACCCGCTGTAAGAGAAAAAATATTTCCCTTAATGAACAGTGTCATTTTAAGAAAAGGAAACTAAAAAATATTATCCAATCTACAAAGGATGAAAGTCCATAACAAAATATAACAATTCAATTCTGTCTGAGAGATAATCAGTGAATGACAATACAAACCACCACATTACCTGCTTTAATGAGAGAGAGAGAGAGAGAGAGAGAGAGAGAGAGAGAGAGGTTATGGAGAACAGCTCCTCCTTTTCTTTTCCATCTGGGAGTTCATAAGGTCAGGAACCTGACACTGGTTTCGAGTGGGAGCCAGTTGGGCAGGGTTTCTTCACCCTCTGGACAAATGATTGGCCTATTTCAGGAATTTTAAGTAATTGTGGCTGTTCTCTTCAGCCAGGAGAAGTTTAGCTTTCACAAAGAGAAGAGTTTGTGGTGTTCATTTAATCCCATTGCCTGAGTGCACGAAATCGACTTTGCTCCCGAAGTTATTGTTCCCAGTTTATGAGTCTGAGACTTATTTTGTCTTACTTTTCAGGGTCCTCATGAAAACGAAGCATCCATAGCATTGCTTAGAGGCTGACATAGTGCCCAGCACCCTGTACTCCCCCAAAAAGAAATTCCTTCACAAATGCAAGGTAGTAAGAGGAGTGTGCTGCTGTTTCTGCTATGTGTAATGTCATTTTCCCCTAAGGGGCATGGAGGCAACAGCTTGTACCTGCAACCGTGACACTCAAGAGATTTTCATCCTTGCTCTCTTTCCACTCAAACTATTCCCAGTCATTCCCATACAGATCATCTTGTAGCAGCTGAATAATATGAGGCAGCAAAGAGAGTGAGAAGTCAGATGTCTTCGCTGAGATTATTATTGTGATGAAACAAGTAGTTGAATAAACTCAATTCTTCCATAGTCAGGTTCTTGCACAAAATTAGCATCTAAGATGATGTGAAGAGGACATAGCATTGGCAGCCACTGGTCAAAATTGCCTGCAGCTCTCTTTTAATCAGAAAAGCAAGGTTCCCTTCATTTTTAACTCCGTCTTACTATTCCTTAGTGATTTCTATTGTTTTGGAATCATCCTCTGCCATGCATAACAAGTACTTTTAACCATATGGGATTGCCCATCTAAATTCCCAGGGAACAGAGAGTAGCTGTGAACATTTTTGTATGCTTGCTGTATTATTGCCTTAATGCCGCTCAGATTACTAGAATGATTTTCACCAAGCATCCCCAAACAATTGATATCTCAGGAATTATTCTTCTCCTAATGAGAAGCCCATTACCCCTGAGAAAGAATATGTTAGTCTTGTTTCACAAGTGCTATGCTGACTTAAAAATGTGTATATACTTTGATCTACTATAGAAAAATCTTGTTTTGGTAATCTCCGAGGATTTAAAAATTTCGGCGTGTGTGTGTGTGTGTTTCATAACATCAATCAATCAAGGCATTTAGTCTTTCAGCCCAGTGAAAACACACATAGCTCAAATCTCCAAAAAACGTTTTCGCAACCTGTGCAACTGATCCTGTATGCAACTGATCAGGCAGCGACTAGTGTTTTGCACAGAGTTAATATCTCAATATTTTTGATTCATGTTTGATGACTGCTTTATCATTATTTCAGTACCATCGTTTCTAGATTTACTAAAACATAGTTTAGCTCAGTGAGTTCTTACACAATTTGCTTTTGTGTCTTGCAAACCAAGATTTTAATTTGCATTTTATATCCCATTTCATGGACATAGTAAGCAACAAGTGTTAATAACATTTATTTATTGACGAAGTGCTTTGAACTCCTTGGATAAAATTCAATATTCACAAGGAGCTTTAAGTTAGTATTTGATTATATAATTTGGCCTAACTTTTGAGATGGGACAGAGTTAAATTTGTAGGCACGCTCTATTTCAGATTCTGTTGTAGGATTTATCTTTATTTTTTGCATATATACTAGGCCATGCAAATCAGGTGGCCCAAACTGATGAATCCTGATTTAGAAACGTTCACTTTTTTTGCTCAAGAAAATCCAGATTTTTTTTACCCCTTTTTAAACCTAAACATGAGTTCTACTCTCTTAACAACATTTTAACTGTACAGTACAGTATTGTTCACTATAGCTATTATACTGTATAGCTCTCCAGAACATATTCATCTTGTATAACTGACTCTTTATATCCTTCGAATAGCAACTCACTATTTCCCCCTCCTCCAGCCGCTGGCCACCACCATTCTCATCCCTGCTTCTATGAGTTTGACTATTTTTGTAATCTATACTAATAAAGGGTAAAATGCTCATTAGACCAGGTAGACAGGACATCTTCCAACGTCCTTACGGAAAAAGCCACAGCAGCTGTGAGGGCCGAGGGCAGGCAGCTGCGGTGGCTGGCAGTGGTAGTAGCAGCAAGGTGATGGGGGCGGCGCCTTCCCCTGATTGGCCCAGTCACCTCCCGCAGAGGGAGGCCAGATTGTGGCTGAGACCCTCTCCCCGCTTAACCTGTCAGTAGGACATCCCCTGAAAGCTCCTGGACTGTGAGAGGAGGCAGGCCAGGCTGAGGCCCCCCCTCCCCCAGTGCATGAATTTTCATGCACTGGGCCTCTAGTCTTCATATAAGTGGAATCATAAGTATGTGTCCTTCTGTGACTAGCTTATTTCACTTAACATAATGTCATCAAAGCTTATGTTGTCCCATATGGCAGAATTGCCTTCTTTAAGGCTGAATAATATTCTATTTTATGCATATGCCACCTTTCCTTTACCCAGTCATCTGTAGGTGGTTACTACATCTTGAATACCGGAAATATGCTGCAATGAACATATCTCATGGACATCCTTATGTCAATTATTTTAAATAACTATCCAGAAGTAGAATTACTGGATTGCTACAGAATTTACCAGGTGACCAGAAAATATGGTACACACAGCAGTACTCAGAGATATAGGAAAAAAACCATTTATTTCCAGATGTACTAGTACCATGACTCAGGAGAGCCTATTTCCAAATCCTGAGCAAGCCAATATGGAGGAATTTTTTCTTTTTTTCTTTTTTCTTTTTTTAAATATTTTATTGATTTTTTTACAGAGAAGAAGGGAGAGGGATAGAGAGTTAGAAACATCAATGAGAGAGAAACATCATCAGCTGCCTCCTGCATATCTCCTACTGGGGATGTGCCCGCAACCAAGGTACATGCCCTTGACCGGAATCAAACTGGGACCCTTCAGTCCGCAGGGCCAACGCTCTATCCACTGAGCCAAACTGGTTTTGGCAGGAAGCTTTTTCTTTATACCCTTTGGTTTCTTTGTCCCCCAAATATGGATCAGACTTCTGGACCTTTCACGGGCTTTGCAAAAAGCCTTGTGTGTTGGGATGGAGGACATGAGACCACGCCTAAAGGCCTTGCTTGACACCAGCACTGATAACCTCCTCTGGGGGTTGTGTATTGTTCATGATTTATGTCCTCTGTAAAATGTATTTAGGTAAATAGGTCTTGCAAGACCAGATAATTAAGGAAGGGGCAGTGAGTTGATTATCAGCTAGCAAGAATGAGCATTAGGGATACTGATTAACTAGGTACAGAGTCAGATTGCTAGCCCCCTCCCAAAAATCTATTTTTATGTTTCCCATCAGGATCACATGGTAATTCTGTTTTATTTTTTTATTTTTGAGGAATCTCCATATTGTTTTCCAGAGTGGCTGAACCATTTTTATATTCCCACCAATAGTACATAAGTGTTTGAATTTCTCCCCAACACTTTAAAAAATATAGGCATCCGAACAGGTGTGAGGTGATAGCTCATTGTGGTTTTCATTTACATCGCCCTCTTGATAAACATATTTTCATGTGCCTATTGGCCATTTATGCCCTTTTTTTTTTTTGGAAAAATGTCTACTCGAGTCATTTGCCTATTTCTTTTTTTTAAATATATTTTTATTGATTTCAGAGAGGAGGGGAGGGGGGGAGAGAGAGAGAGAGAGAGAGAGAGAGAGAGAGAGAGAGAGAGAGAGAGAGAGAAGAGGAGAGGAGAGGAGAGGAGAGGAGAGGAGAGGAGAGAGGAGAGAGAGAACAATGATGAGAGAGAATCATTGATCAGCTGACTCCTGCTTGCCACCCTCCTTGGGGATTGAGCCTGCAACCTGGGCATGTGCTCTGACCAGGAATTGAACTGTGACCTCCTGGTTCAGAGGTCCCAGACACCCTATCTAACAAACCTCTCTTGAGTCCCAAATCCCTCTCTTGCTACAGCCCCATGTCTTTGTTCTGCTCTGTAATAGAACTGCACCCAAGAGTTGTGTAAGGCTATGGTTCCCACTTCCTACTTTCTGCTTACTTGTTAATCCCCATCTATCTATCTTTTATTACCATGTTACCCTGAAAAAGCTATCTCTACTGAAACAACCCATCTCCATGTTACAAATACAATGACTATTTTCCTGTCATTGTATTTTGTCTCTCAGTAAAGTTTGACATCTTTTTTTTTTTTTTTGGAAGGGGATAGAAAAGCTACTTTTCTTTTGCAAATTAGAGAGCAATGTTGAACTTGGGCAAAATGTTTAATTCACTGTGCCTCAGTTTCCCTGCCTATAAAATAGTATAACAACAGAACCTTGCTCTTGAAATGGTAAGAATTAAATTAGTTTAAGGCAATTAAAGCAGTACTTGGCACAGGAATTGCTTATCATCATTGTTATTATTCAATTACACATTCTTTGGTTTTTCTTCCATTTCTGACAATTTCTATTATTCTTTGCTGGCTTCCTCTTATAAATGAGACCTCTCAATGTGGAAGGTTATATTTCCTCCTAGCCCAATGAATTTACATTCACCCAGGTGCCATTAGCCCCTGAATGTGTCTTTAGCCTTGACCCATATCCAACAGTGCATTTGACATTTCTCCTTGTATAGTATAACATATAATAAAGTTTAACTTTCAAAAATAGAATTCTTGATAATGCTTCATCTTATACTAGGCTTCCCATTCCACTTTTTCTTTTCATTTTCTCAAGTTGAATATCTAAGAGTCTATGATGTCCCCCCCTTCTCTTCATCTTTACTACCACCACCTTCATATAAACCACACTAGCTCTGGCCTGGGTTATGGAAATAGCCACCAACCTGGACTCCTAGATTTTTGTTCACTTCTGCAGAGGATTAAGCATACAATTGCCAAGTTTACTGTTTTAATATGTAGTAAAATTATGTCATCCCTTCCTTAAAATCTTCTTTGGCTTCTGACTGAATTTAGAATAAAGTCTAAACATCCTCCTTTGGACTATACTAGCACTATAGGATCTGGTCCCTGCCTACTTCACCCACCACCTCCTTCCAGATGTGTTTATTCATTATGCCTCCAGCCCTACTGGTCCACTGGTCCTTGAACATGCTAAACTCTTACCTGCTCAGGGGCCTTAGGTTTGCTCTCTCCTCTAAATGCAATGTTTTCCCTTGGCTTACTTTACCTGGCTGGTTACGTCAGTTCGAATTTCAGGGTTTTGCTCAGATGGCATCACCCCGGGAGGCTTCCACTGAGCAGTAATGTAGAGGAACATACACTACCCTTATTCCTTATTTTTCAGCCTTTTCTAGCACTTTTAAAAATTTGAAATTTCCCTGGTTGTTTATTTTCTTATTATTATTACTTTTTTAAATTCTAAAATGGGATTTAATTGTCTTCAGGAGAAAGACACTACCTGTATTATTCACTTCTATATGTCCACCACCTAGAACAGTGCCTGGTACACAGCAGACACTTCATAAATATTGACTCAATTAATGCATAGCTGAATCTTGGCAGGCAGTGAACATTACAGTAAAAGAGTGACATAACAATGATTGACAGCTTACAGGGACCACTCTGGATAACAGAATGTACAGTAGGTAATCATCTCTTACTGTCTGCACTAGAAATTATAGAAGTCAGGTAGATGAACAAAGCAATAATGTTAAAAATATAAACTAATATCTAAAAAATGGAAATGTTAACATTTTAGTTTATGTTAAAGTTTACATAGATATAGGAGTGAAGGGGAGTTCAAATTTATTAAATGTATCTTATACTAGAGGTCCTGTGCATGAATTCATGCACAGGTGAGGTCCCTCCGGGTGGCCTGCGGAGATCGGGCCCCAACTCAAGCCCCCAGCCTCACAACCCCAGCTCACGCCTGCAGCCTCACAGCCCAGCAGCCTCACCTGGCACCCTGCCTTGGCCTGGCACCACCCCCTCACCTGCTCCACCATCCTGCCTGCAGGGTGATTGGTTGGGGTTGTGCCCCCCCCCCCCCCCCCGCCGCTGTCACTGGTCGCTGTCTGCCTGGCGCCACCTGCTCACCTACTCCACCATCTCACCGCAGTCCAGCTCTTGTTGGGGCCCATAAGAGCTGGCAGTAACTCCACTGCCGCCCTGCCATCTTCTGTGCCAGCCCCTGTGGCACAGGTTATAGCAAGTGGTCAAACTCCTGGTCTTCTGGTAGAATGACCGCCCGACAGGACAATTTGCATATTAGGCTTTTATTATATAGGATGCTTAGAACTCTTCCTATAAATAAAAGAAAAATAATATATATATTAGTCAGCAAGTGTTCACCATCTACTTTCACATTAAATTATAAATAAGCTATAGTATTTATGTGTACTTATACAGTTGAACTTTTACAATTTAATACTATTTTATATTTGTATAATAATATTTGATAAAGTTCTTACATAATATGAAAATTGGCTTCTTAAAATAAGAGCTTAGGAACCTATAAAGCCATTTTCCATTTGAGGGATAATACATTTTACATGTTAATACACTATAAATTAGAAATAAAAAGTATGCCATGTTTCATTATAAGTAGAATACCTTCCTGAATATTTTTAGTGATTACATAATGGAAAGGGAGGCATTTAAAAGATAAAAATGACAACTACCAGCTAAAACTTGCTCCATGGAAATTATTTGCTAAGTACCAATAGGACTTCAGTGAAGGGACTGACTGTCCATTTTACAGGTTTCAAAAACTGAGGCTTAGAAAAGAGGAGTAACTCGCCTACATACACTCAGTAATTATCTCAACCAAGACTTGAGTCCACTGTTAAGGGCTGAATGTTTGCATGTTCTGCTCTTCAAATAGTATGTTGAAGCCCTAACCCCTAATGTAATGATGTTTGGAAGTAGGGCCTTTGGGAAATACAGGTCTAGGTTTAGATTTGGCCATGAGTGTGGGACCCTCATGGTGAGATTAGTGGCCTTTTAAGAAGAGAAAGACAGCTGCTCTCTTTTTGGTTCTCTCCAAGGCATGTCCCGGGAGAAGGCCATCTGAGCACACAGCCGGAAATCGGGAAGCAGGCTCTCCCCAGGAAAGGAATCTGTGGGATCCTTGATCTTGGACTACCCAGGCTGCAGAGAATTAAATTTCTCCTATTGACACCACCAGGTCTACGGTATTGTGTCATAGCAGCCCAGCAGACCAATACCACCACATTGCTAAAAATCACTATATCGCTTCTACCATATGAAAAAGAAATGTCACCTCAATGAGAAAAAGCTGATTTCTTTACTGCTCCAGTTCTAATGCTAAAACCCACAAGGGATTTTTCTCTTGGTTCAAATAACGTTTTATTAGAAATTAAGTTATAAAAGTATATGATGAGCTTCGTCACGAGAGAGACCTAGATCTCTCTCTCTCTCTGCACAGTGCTGGTGGGAGCTCTGTGGGGATCCTTTAGTGCCTCAGCGTGCCGTGAACTCTCCGGGGCACTGCGCTTTCATGAGCACTATACACCGGCACGAGTACTGAAGGGAAGACTTGACAAGCTCTCTGCTCTGACCCAGAGTCTGAATGTTCCTTGTCTGAGCTCCCTGGTAGGAGACTGTCTCAGATTTTCACTCATAGCCGGCAGCAACTGTACATGCTGCACAGGCGCTGCTTGAGGCTCCCGGAGGGATGAAACGCCTCATCATCACTCGGCAACCACTTTGGCAGACTAAAGGGTGACATTGATTGGCTCTGAACAAGTGAGTAAGAGAAACAGTACCCAAATCTCAGGAGGAAAATATGATAGAAAAAAAAAAAAGAGAAGCAAGCCCCTTTAACCCAATCTCGCAATGTTTCAGATCCATAAAATAAATGCAAATCCATTTGCAGTGGGAAATCCAGTCACTCGAATGAGGGTTCCGACAAAGTCATCCTTAGAAAGTGACACATCAGTTATTTTATTCATTCATTCACTGTGTACTGAGCTCCCACTGTGTGCCAGATACTGTTCCAGGCCCCAGGGATGCAGCCCGAACAAAATGTCCCTGATCTGGAGGAGAAAGGCAAATAACTAGATAACAATCAGGTGGTGATAAGGCCAAGGAAGACAAGTGAAGTGAAGGAAGAAACAGAGTGTACTGTGAGGAGGGAAATGGATGCCATCTCCACACGGTGGTCAGGGAAGGAAGCCGGATTGATAAGAGACCTGAAGGAAAGGAAGGGGCGAGCCTTCCTGATATTTGTGGAAAGACAAACTAGCAAGAGCAGGATGGCACATAAGCCTTTGGAAGACATCAAAGTGGCTGGAGCAGAGCGAAGCGAGGAAAGAGGAGATGTAAGGGGTAGTGTGGGGCCAGGCCTGATGGGTTGTGCTAGGTCTTAAGCTTTACTCTGAAAGAGATGGAGGATGATTGCAGGGTCTTGAGCAAAGAGGTACCATGACAATGGGTCACAATGTAAAGGGACCACTCTGGATAAAATAATTTAGGAAGGAAGGTGGAAGCTGAGAAACCAGTTCAAAGTTACTCCAGTTGTTCAAGAAAGAGTTGATCATTTGAACCAGCTTAAGGGCAGGGGAGATGATAAGAAATGGTCAACTCCAGATAGATTTTGAAATTAGAATGGACAGCCTTTGCTGGTAGCTTTTCATTTTTCATTTTTATTTATTTATGTTTACAAGTTATCATTTTGATATTAGTAAAACAAATGTAGATATATCTGAGTTATTTCCTCTGTAGATGTACAGCAACTCATTTTCCAGCCTGATAGCTTTTTGAAAGGAGAATAGCTGTGTTAAGGGCAATGCTTGGATATGGTAGGTTCACAGCAAATACTTTGAAGGAAATAAATATTGAATAAATTAATGAACTAATAAATGTACTGAGAGTTGGCCGCATTTCAGAGGAACTGGCCTAATGCTTTCAGCTTATGCATGTATAGATAACAGTTCCACTCTGTGCCTCAACAACAACAGTATGCATGGGAACCCGAAACACACACAGAACACAGAAACATACACAGTGTGTTTACGCAGCAGTGTGTTTGCATAAAGGTTTGTCTAGTTAAGTGGGTACCTAAACATTTTAGAGGTCTAGTCTTAGATTTGGAGGTTTAAGTCTACGAAAGGGAAAGGAAACTCTTCCCTTCAAGGGCCTTCCTCTTTGTTTAGTTAGTATTGATTAATTGATTGATTGATTGAAGGAATGAATGAGTGAATGAGTGAATGCTCAACTCAGCTACTACTCTCTTCCGTCTGAGCTTTCTCAACTATCCCAAATGATTTTTATAAATGAGTATAAAATTTTTTATAAATGATTTTTGTAAAATTGAGATTGATTTTGAATGACACATCTTTTATCATTACTGTTTTTACATTACTGTTTCCTCACAAAAGTGATATTCAAGATTACATTTATGTAACCTTACTGGAAATCTTTTCCTCTCTCACTTACTCCTTCCTTTCTTTCAAAAAACTATTTTCTTTATGGGTCTGTGTGTTTGCAATGAAATAATGTTAGCACTCTTGTCCTAATCTTGAATCCACATTGTATTATAAATGTGTACTATTTCTTCATTTTGTAATTAGAAAAAGAAATTATTCATAGCACTAAGGGAATTATAGTGGGTATTACTCATTGTATTACCTGAATAAAATGTTAAGGTTATTAATACCTGGAGATTACTGAGATTTCTATTAAAATTTATATTTTAAACCCTGAGTGGGTTTGCCCCTTTTTTAGGTACTACGGAACTAAATGCAATTAGACCATTTGTCATCAAGAAGAACAAGTACATAAGAGCAGAAGAGAACAGACCTGCAGCTGGTGTGACCACATTAGCAGGAGACTCAGAGAAGCCTTTAAGGTATAAGACTCGAATGTATGCAAGAAACATAGACTAGGATGTCATTAACCAGTTAAACAAAAATCCTAAATACTTGTGTTAATTTAGAGAGACTCAATCTGTGTTCAGAGGATTGGTGCAGATTCATATGATTTTTTAAAAGAAGGATGACAAAAGAAAAGTTCTTGGCATTTGTAGGTTGACTTGAGCAAGTTCCAAGGGCCAGCAACTGAAGGTGAACTCTGATTCTTTCCTGGCTTCTTCGCATTTTTTGGAATTGAAATGGATTAAATACCATGAGTAATTTGGAAGTTCTCTGGAGGGTAAGTTAGTGCTCTGATTAACACTTAATTTCTGATCATTCAACTGGAAAGATAGTTGAGACACTTGGCCGGGGCAGTTTCTTGGGGTTGGGAGTGATATGCAGAGTCACTGTGCTTGGAACTTCATCAGCTTATTCCTAAATCCTGGCAGAAGAAATTCATCACTGGCTTGGTCATTGCTGTTGCCTTTTCATGCTTAGGAAACAGGGCCTAGTCCTTAAATAACTACTCTCCTCATCCTTAACTCCACAGCACACCTTCCTCTCTCTCTATGCTCTCATTGCAAACTTTATAGAATATTCTACTCGGGATATTTCTAAAAATTAAGTGATATAGTATGCTATGCTGTTCTCTGAAAATACTCAAAGTTTTGAGTTTACAGCTTATAAGGATTCCACTGATATTTCTTTACATCCCAACTCTTATGAAGATCGTGCTTGGATAAGGTTTTAGCCTATGGGCTTTGGTGATTAAGAGTAATACAAATTATACTGGTATAACACTTGCCATTCCTCATATTCCTCACTAGAGGAATTCAACATCCTTTAGATATTTTTCTCTTTGTGTCAAAATGCTTTTTAAGTACGGGCACTGGCTTATTTTCAAGTAGTTTACTTTTATTATTAAAATACTTAAATAGTCATGCAAAATTAAATGTCTCTTATTAAAATTATGATAAAAAGAACAGGTTTCACTTCTTTCACTCATTCTTTTCTCAGTCACCTAATAGGGCTTTATATCTTTGGGCTCCAGCAAATTCTATCGGGGCCCTGCATAATTACATGGATGGCCAAATGCATATGTGTTTTAATCCACGGCTAAGAAAAACCACCTGTAGATAACATTTCAAGCTACAAATTAGTGAAATAAGCACCACATTGTAACCATGTTTTAGAAATAATTTTATGGTTCTTTAGCTTTTTATTGAGTTAGAATCCTTTTCTTTTTTTAAATACATCTTAATCACTCTTTCTGTATCCAGAGCACCAAAAACAAAAGTTATAGTGCTAAGCTTTTACTATTATAATTGTCAAGAAAATGGCATCTGAGATAATTATTTAAGGTAAATTTTGTATGTATAGAAAAGAGACTTTTGGTCAATATTTCCTGATTCAGTAATATAGTAATAGTAATTGCAAGTGCTGAAGGTTCTTAAGCCACAGAAAACTACTAGGTTTTTTTTCATACTTTTGTGTGATATGATATTAAAAAGCTGTGAAGAAGGTTCTAGAAGAGTTTTTAAAATATATTAACAATAAAGTCAAGGTGTCCTTGTTTTTTACTGCACATTTATAGACCTTCAGCTCCTTAAAGTTCATGGCAATATTAGAATCTAATAATGCTGCCTAGCTCAAAGTTTGTTCTCAATTTATAGGTAGAAGTAATTAGAAATCTTCATTTTAAACCATTCACAATATGGTCAAATCATTGAGTGACATTTCTAAGAACTTTCTATTTAAATAAGAGGAACAAATAGATCATGTCACTTTCTTGACATTTGTAGTGGTAAAAACCCTTCACTAAAACGATTGCTTTTGGCTTTCTTACAGAAAGAGTGATTAGAATATGGTTTTCAAAAAGAAGTTTCCTAACTTCCTAAAAAAATGTTTTTAAGAACCATGGGGGGAAAAGCACTAAAAACAAAAATTCTAAATTATGCTAACACCTAATTACAATTGATGTCTTCTTACTCATTTGTAACTTCTTCAGTTGTTAACCAACAGCTAGGCTTCCATTGTCTTACCTCTTGCACCCATTTCCCCATTTCCAGGGTCCCTGAACCAGTCCTTAAGGACTCTGGAGCCTACTTGGTTTGCCACTAACTATAGGACCCTAGGTAACTCATTTAATGGCGTGGGAGCTCTGCGAAGCCCCTCATATATAAAACAGGAGAGTCAGGGGGGATTCAATTATATCTAACATGCCTTTTCCTCTAAATTTCATTATACAATATCCCAATCCAAGCTCCTCTTACCTTATCTTGGGAACCTGCCCTTGATGATCTGTCTAGCTCCACTCTGAGCTCTGGCATTTAAGGTTGTTTCTAGCAACTTACATATGACTTTGGGGAAATATTTCTATTTTCTTTTGCCATTTATAGTTAAAACTATCACCTGACTTTCTCAGACATTTCCACCTGTTTCCAAACTTGAGTAAAACCACCGTGAAAGCTGGAACTATTCTTAACTTCTTGGCAGAATTCTATGTGGGCAACTGGTCTTGTTGGCCGCAGGTCTCTTAGTCACAGCCACAGGTAATCCATTTCCTTCTTGGCTGTTAGGGAAGGGCCTGGTTAGTCAACCCAACACATTCCGCGCCCCACCCCCTGCTTCCCTGCCTTTGCTCTCTGCTCCTGCCTCAGGCTGCTTGCCAGGTTGTACTGAGAGGATCAAATTAAGTGATTAAATTACCTTTGCAGTAGAGCCAGCAAGGGCACAATGCTATTTATCTGCCGTCCACTCCGTATTGGCCTTTTCTACATCAAAAGTTCTGCTTCCTTTGACTCTCAGTGGCTCTTTTTTTTTCCTCAGGAAACCTACCATGTCTCCCATTTGTTTATAATGAATAGATGCCTGTTGTAATTTCCATCACATAATTTTACCTCTTTATTCCCAATAGCATACAAACACCTCACTGCATTTCACATAGTTTTCGGTGAGATTTCAGCAGCAAATGACAAATTTTTAAAAATATTTTCACCTATCCAAAGAGTCAGGTGCTAACCATATTCGAACACAAAATAGAATGGTTCAGAAAAGTTAGATATTTACAATTTTCACAGATATGGGAACTTAACTAATTTCATTTTAGTTATACAGTTTCCCTGAAAGTTGATGCTTTCTTATAACTGTCTTCGCTGAGGTTAGTAAATGAAAAGAACTCGTGAAGAAGTAAAATCTATACCATGTCAAGGTACATTTGGCAAAGAGAATGACTCATCTTCATGCTCTCTGTGTATGAAAGAATTCAGCTGGGTGGCCAGTGATCGGTAGGAGTGGGTTATTTACCTGGGAGGACCTGGAAAGCTTTTTACAGTGTCAACAGGATTGTTGTTAAGCAGCAAGTTGGCAAACATGGGAAGGTTGTCATTAAACAATGTTGGGATTCAGAACTGTTGACGTTTATTTGCTTTTCAACTCTTCAACAGCTCGAAGAGAGATCCAAGCTATCTAAAAGGAAAAGGCACACGCATCATTGCACGCCCTCTTTCTCTCTCTTTCTAAAGCTCTTAGCAACCCTAAGGGTGAAGCCATCCTTTAAGTCGAGGGCTTTTTCACACGGGCTTCCATGAATGGCCTCTGGGGGGTTCATGGACTCCTGCAAATATATGTGGCAGCTGCCGTATAATGATGGTCATCCATGCAGTCTTCTGTTTGGGAGGTATGGGAGGGCTGACATCTTTTATTAGATTTTAAAATGGGCCTGTGAAACAATACAAACTACTACTTTGGGGCCTAAATTGAGCAGCTTGAATAATGTGTCGTGGTGTATGCTGCTGCCATACACAATTTTTAAAAGCAGAGCCAGTGAGGTAGACATGGAAGGAAGGGATGGAGCCCCCGGTCACTGATGCAAAAGAAGAATAGTATGTTGGGAGCAATTGGTTGGAGGCCGAGAAAATTACTGTAGCGCCTCCAAGAATGGGCATCAGGAGACCCTCATCTATGCACCTAGACCAGTGGTCGGCAAACTGCGGCGTGGCAAACTGCGGCTCGCGAGCCACACGTGGTTCTTTGGCCCCTTGAGTGTGGCTCTTCCACAAAATACCGACTTCTGCGCATGGGGCACGAAGTTTCAATCACACTGTACATGCGTGCCCGCACGTGGTATTTTGTGGAAGAGCCACACTCAAGGGGCCAAAGAGCCCCATGTGGCTTGCGAGCTGCAGTTTGCTGACCACTGACCTAGACAAAAGTTTCTACCTATTGGTGCTTATTGAAGAGCTGAGAGCAATTCCTGCTTCTCTCGGATCTCACACCAATTCCACTTCAGGTGCAAATGGGTTCAGCCCTTTTTGCTATTATGCTTGGCTCATCACGCAGTTCTAAGGCTTACTATCTCCAGAGACCCCTGCACAGCTCTGTATTCACTAAATCAAGAGGAAGTGATGGATCAGGATTGGTGCTGCTCCAGCCCCACATCGGGGTGGTTTCCCCAAATCCCATCAAGGTAGCCGACTTCAGAAATGGCCACCGAACATCAAGACTTGGCCTCATTTCTGCTTATTTCACAGCAAATGAACATCAGAGATGCCTTGTTCCACCTGGGCTGCACATGGGACTAGCGCTCACTCCTCCAGGTGGATCCACATTCACCCAACGTGTGTAATAACAACAACCAGCTTTGCCCCAGGAGGCCAGCTCTGCGTGTTTCTCTCCAAGGTAAGCCTCTTACTTATGGTACTCGTTTTTTTTCTTTCTTTTGTCTTAGGATTCCTTCTATCAGGGAAAAGTTAGTTAAAAACCTGTATTCTTCTTTGCGTCTCTGGCTCTTTTGTGAGCTGTACCTCACTTGTGTGGTCTCGTAGGGCCATTGCCCTGCCAGTGTCTGATCAGCTTCGCTCTTCACAGCTTACAAACCAGTGACTCTAGGGCTGTTCCCTCCCCATACACCTTGGCACCTCCATTCTTTTTGGGGGTGTGAGTAATCAAACTTTGGCTTGCCTTGTAGTCTTTTTTTTATTGTTGACAGTATTACAGGTGTCACCCATCCTCACCCCCCATAGTCTTAACTTCCTTAAAATGGGTTCTTTTGCTTCCCACGATCCTTTTAGCTAAATGCGCACGTACACACACACAGAGAGAGAGAGAGAGAGAGAGAGAGAGAGAGAGAGAGAGAGAGAGAGAGAGAGAGAGAGAGAGAGAAGAGAGAGACACAATCCATTTCCATAGAATGTGAGGGCTCACTCATCAAAAAGTCAAATTATCTGCCCAGCCAGTGTGGGTCAGTGGTTTATTCTCATACAGGTCTGGAGACCTGAAATCCATATCAGCTTTTCCACTAGGCTAAAACCAAGATGTCAGCAGGCTGTGTTTTTTCAGAGGCTCTGGGAAAATTCATTCCTTTGCCTTTTGAAAAACAGTAGCACAATACCTACATCTCTCTGTCCCCTCTCCTCCTTAGAAGGACCCTCTGATTGCATTGGGCCCACCTGGATAACTGGAATACTCTCCCTGTTTTCAGATCCTTAATTTAGTCACGCCTCCAAAGTCCTTTGAGTCATGTAACATCACATATTCACTACTCCCTGAGATCAGAATGTGGACAGATTCAAGGGCCATTATATTTTTAAAATATTTTTATTAATTTCAGAGAGGAACAGAGAAGGTGAGAGAGATAGAAACATCAATGATGAGAGATAATCGTTGATTGGCTGCCTCTTGCACACCCCACACTGGGGATCGAGCCCACATCCTGGGCATATGTCCTGACTGGGAATTAGAACAGTGACCTTCTGGTTCATAGGTCTTCACTCACCCATTGAGCCACGCTGGCCAGGAACAGGGTCATTAATAATCCCTCCACAGTAATTTAATGATTACAATATAACACTCTAAAGAAGATATTGAATCTTTTAAATTTCATTAGACATCAAAATATTTACTTTTCATTAGCCAAATCAATCCCAGCCAGGTCAGAGCTGTTATAGGAAATTCAAATGAGGAACTTTCCAATTCAACTTCACCAATGTGTTTTTGGAGCAAGTGTAGACTAGAATATGGAGAACATACAGCAGCACTTTGGGTAAAAGAAGTTGTTGAGGTCATTTCTTTCCCGTCTGTGGATTTCCCCACAGATGTTGCAGATAAATCAGAACGAGGATGGAGCCAGGCACGTGTGTTCAGTATTCTGCAAACTGTGCTAAAGCTGACAGACCATAAAAACTGCTTCCCATCCTTGCTCCCAGGAAAGGAGTCATGTAGTGAGTTCACCCTGCAGTTCTGACTTTTCCAGATTTGGTAACTTTATGCCCTCAGACATCTAAAACAACAAAGCCCGTGCCCAGCTCTTCAGGTGACAGGTGACCCTCCTTTCCCTGCTCCCTCTCAAGGCCTTCCTTCCCGCTGATGATGAGTGACGTGCGACCAAGGCAGAGCAGGTGTGCGGTGTCTGCCCTGGGCATGTTGGAGCAAGACTGGAAGGAGGAAACTTGTTGTGTTTTTTGTTTTTTTAATTTCTTACAGAAGGGAGCTGAAGGGCTGACAGACTCCCATTGGAAATGCACACACACCTGCATGTGTTGGTATTTTTTTTGGATTGGGTGCTTTAGGCATTTTCAGAAAACAAGCCCCAGAAGAAAACCATCAATGTGAGAATGCCTTTGTGCTGTTCAATTTATTCTCAAAAGCTAAGTAGCACTTTCTGACCAGGTGCAGAAATATATGTTTTTCCTTTTTTCTTAAACACAGAACTAAATTGTATTACCTTTCTGGGCAATAAACCATGTTTTATAAATCAAATTTAGATAAAATAATCCGGGAGGAAATACTGATAATTTTTAAATACTGATATATCTGCCTCTTACTTTAGATTTTATTTTCAAAGGTTAAGAGTGAGAAATATCAGTATTTGAAAATTGAGATACAAGTATATAAATTATGCTTGCATGTGTCATAAACATGTAGCCTATCCAGAAATTAGCATCATTACGTAAGAGAGCTATTTATCTGATTGTTTAAAACACATTTTTTTTTTATTAATTTCAGAGAGGAAGGAAGAGGGAGAGAGAGAGAAAAATATGAATGATGAGAGAGAATCATTAATCAGCTACCTCCTGCATATCCCACCCTGGGGATCGAGTCCTCAACCCAGTTATGTGCCCTGACCAGGAATCGAACCTTGACCTCCTAGTTCATATGTTGACATTCAACCACTGAATCAGGCTGGCTTGACTTTGATATTTTTACCCGCTTGTGGCCTTGGTACAGTTGTGTGTCGGTAAATTTATTTAAAAAGAGGCTCTCCCGGGGAAGGAAAACCCTGATTTGCAGTGTTTGCCAGTTTCTATGGTGTTAATATACACTCCCACCAAGGCCAATTTCAAGTCACTGTCCTGAAGTCCCTGAAGTCAGGGGTGAGAAGAGATGGGCACAATTGGCTCTCCTAAGCAGATGTTAGTATCTACAAATAATACAACTCAGAAGATTCATATGGATAACAAGGGGCTATGTTCAGAATGAATGAATCCTAACTCTGAAAGGAGAACTATATATGATTTTGCTATTCGGGAAACCCTGAGGATATATCACAGTGTCTGTAACCAGGAACATGATTTCAGACTTTGGATAGTCTGGGTTTTTCTTTTCCTAAATTCTAGCAAACCTTTCCCCGCCATGTCCTATCCTGATCATCCTCGGAGTCTGCATCTTATTTCAGGGGCTTTCGTAAAAAGAGGCCGCAGGAATCCTGAGCTCTTATGTAGGCAGTTGACAGCAAGTATACTTTTCATGCGTGGAGTTTTCCCCCATTGCTCCATGTGAAGGACTGCATTCCCTTCCAATATCAGCTGAAAATCCCAGATGCCTATTTGTTTGTGTGGAGATTTCCCGAGGCTGCAGCTCTCAACTGTCTGACCCGAGTCGTACGTGTGCGACTTTTCCACTGTGCTGTATTTTCTGCGTTTTCTCTGTTGTGCTAAGGCCGATTCTTTCACTAACGCACAAGAGCCTCTGTCTGCTCCCACCGCAGTCCCAGTCCTGCCCTTGGACCTGGGGAAGACAATTCCTTCCCCTGAGCTCCTGTGTTAGACATTTGACTCGAGTTACCTGCTGGCTGTGGCCCTTTCCACTGAGTCTGTGACCCCTCTTAACACCACTGTCTGGATGCTAGAGACACTGAACCTATTGGGCCTGTATTAGCCTCTCTGTCTTGTCCATCCTCCAAAGAGTCAACTATTCCATCTCCCAAGATTTTGATTAAGGGTAGCTTTTTGGGTTTTTTGTTTTTTTTAAAAAAAGGTTGGGCCTATAAAATTTTATTTTTTTCTTCCAATTTTACTTTGTATTGGTTTCAGGTGTACAGCTTAGTGGTTAATGGCCGTTTTCGTTGTGGATAGAAATATACCTAAGGCAGCGGTTCTCAACCTGTGGGTCACAACCTTTGGCGGTCGAACGACCCTTTCACAGGGGTCGCCTAAGACCATCCTGCATATCAGATATTTACATTACGATTCATAACAGTAGCAACATTACAGTTATGAAGTAGCAACGAAAATAATTTTATGGTTGGGTCACAACATGAGGAACTGTATTAAAGGGCCAGAAGGTTGAGAACCAATGACCTAAGGGCTAAGATGCCTCCTAAATTTGAACTTGGTTTTCTAGGCAAAGACATAGGTTGGAACATATTTCATTAAACATCTGTTGGCTTTAACTTTTAAATATTTAGACATATAGTATATGGACCTTCATTTGTACTTTTGAATCAGACCCTGTGAATATTAGAGCAGGCTTCTCCAAACCACCGGTTAACAAAATGTTCTCTTTGCTCTTTAAAGTGTAGATAGTCTAGGCAAGTAAGGATGAGGTTTTTAACAGGGAAAAGTACCTGGGAAGGAGGCATGGGCATGGGAATTAATTTATCAAGAATAGAAAGCTGATGCTCCAATATCAATGTCAGGAAGATTGCGACCAGCCTGGCCCTGGGACCTGCCATGAGGATATATAAACATCAGTGCCCAGGCCAGCAGCAATACCAGTGGATGGCAGCGGTCTGGTTTTCAGGGCAGAGACCCTCTTATTTCTCCTCACTGCCTCCTGATTCTGCTGTGCATGCCTCACTCTCCTCCAGGAGTGCTCAAGAGGACTGTCCTAAGGGAGGCATTACAGGCTCCTTGTGGGCTCTCAGGTCACCCTAACCTCATCTCTTCCATCAGGGGCAGTCTGGGATTTGCTGAAGGGAACCAACCACGGGCATTTTAAACTCCTTTGGGTGGGAATAGGCATTTTCTGCATGGATTCTGGGTTGTCTTTTTCACTGTTGCAGCACCATGGTATTTTCTGTCTCATGTCATCAACCTCCTTCTCACAACTGCCCAGCTCTAGGACATTACAATATAATTGCTTCCTCCTCAAAATCATTCAGGTTACATACATGAACACAATATTTCCTGAGGCTTTTGCAGCAAAACCTATGTCAGGGTGGAAATCCAAGTTAAGACAAATTCTAAATTGGTATCATTTTATGTACTCAAAAATGGTGTAATAAAAATTCAACATCCTGCCTATCTCCAAAGAGGTCTCCATTAGTGCATACATGATAGCAATGTTCATTTCAGTGGCAAGTGCATCCTGTAGAAGGGATATTCTAGTATTTTCTAACTGTGAGGCTAAATAAAAATCAATTATCCTGGATTTGGGGGGCACCTGAGGACTGTGAGGTG